GTCAGTTTACGAAACCACTCGTCATAAACCGTCAGTCTATTGTCATTAAGGTTTAGTGACCCAAGGAAAGAGATGACTATGATTCTGTAAACGTGTACGTCTGGTTTGGTGGATGAGCCTAATGGACCTTTTGAATGAGTGTGAATTTAGTTAAAACCACAAATCAGTTAGCAAGATGAGTAGCCTTCTTCTGAGCAGCGGCTCAGCCCTCTCTCTTTCTTGTCAAAAAGTATTCTCATCCAGAAAAGCAAGTCTCTGTGAAATTCAATGCAAGTGTGAGGCCTACTCAAACCATCATGGGAAAATTTAACTGTCAGTTTTTCGTCATCTTATGCAGCCAAGGGTGAGTAAAATTCTTATTCGAGATCTACCGGTGGTTTGGAAACTTACTTTTTCTGAGTACAAGACGCCCTACTAGAGTTTTATTAAGCACCCTGAACGACCTAGGACAACCAAATAATTATTAAAAAATATTCATATAAAGTAGGCTTCGAAGCTATCTATATATCTTGAATAAGGACTTCCAGTCATTTTGGGTTGTGTAAGACGATTAAGAACTGATGATTGAATTTTTCCAGATTCAGATGAATGGGCCATTCGTTTCCATTGAATTTCTCTTAGGCTTCATTTCCAAAAGAGAATCTCACCCAAGATGGGCGGCAGTTTCGATCTCTTCTTGGTCTCATCAGCAAGGCTATTTGACATTCACTCCAAAAGTGAGGTCTAGTCATATGATTATGGAAAATGGGAACTATCCCTCCTTCAGCCCATTTATATGAAGAACAATTGCGTTTCGAAAAATTTTTTATTGGCAAGACTTGTCACTTTGAATGAACAGTTGGTTGGGAGAAATGTATGATATGAAGAGTCATGTTACAATATTTCCTTGTCATCGGAAAATATTCATTAATTTAGAAACACACTACTGAATGCTGGCCGTATTTGGCAGCCTGCCTCTTGACCTCACCGAAAAGTGGGCAAACACACGAGAGCCTCACCCAGGACGATTAAATGTTTCTGGTTCTTCGTTTATAAGAAGGCTTTCAGCACTACCAGTAAATAATATATATGAGATGTTTTCATCCTATTTCGTTTAGGGTGATAAGGGAACTGATAGTTGAATTTTACCAAAATCATATGAATAGGAGTTACATTTCCATAAAGTTATTCTCATCCAGGCAGAAGTAGACTACAGTTTCAACTTCGCTAAGGTCCTTTCAACACCACCAGCAGGGCTAGAACCATGACAAATACCAATCACTTACGTCTGATGACGGCCGGAGGACTGAGTACTTGTAAAAGTAGTGTATGCGACGAAATTTTGGGTTTGGAGGAATCTCTGGCTTACAATTGCTGAGCTTACTTCCATTTCGAGTGAAAGCGTGTGATGAAAAGATGCAAAAGCCGATCCCATCAGAAGACGATGGCATATATATATATATATGAAGAAAAGACTGGTTTCGACGACTCCCTTAATGCTTTATTTTAACATGCTTTTTAATTTCGTAAAAAATGTTGGCTTTAAGGAATCCGTGAATTGGTCTCACTGGAAAACGAAGGAGGAGGCTCATCGCTTTTCCTCTGTCTGTCATATGAAATACATCAAAAAATTTGTGTGAAGAATAAAGTTATTTGACTAATTTAAGTCACATGTCAGTCTAGAGGCATGTATGTGTATGTACGCATAAGTACGAAACCAGAAGTGAAAGCTCATGGAAGTTAGAACAGGGCTTAACGAATTTTTTCTGTTAATTATCTTAAATATGGATGTAAGGATGATATCTTGTTATGGGTATGTCCATCACATGACAGACGAAGTAAGTTTCGCATGTCGGAGGATGTTATCAACCATAATTTTCTAGTACAACGAAACTGAGAGCTGACCAAGAAGAATCCTCCGTCGTCTTCTGGTGGGTTCGACCTCTGCACCTTTTCACTTTCAATCGAAATGCAAACGAACGCACCCTCTTTAGAATTAGCCCCTTAATGTCGTTAGCTTTTCTCTGTGTTTGCTACTTTTCAGTTGCTAGATGTCCACCTGCCCCATCCAAACGTACTCGACTTTGTGACTGGAAAGTTGCAGAACTCGGTCGGCCTCACTATCAAAGACAGAAACATGTCTCAATCCGAAGAACCGGATCCGGAGGAGATGGCTCGCTATGGACTCAGCCACGACCCGACCATAAATGATATGGATGAAAGTGACGATGATGCTGGAGGCATGTCGTCCCAAGTGGCCACGCAGAAAAGCGCCATAAAACAGGAACGTTCTGCAAAGTCGTTTAAGGGGTTTTTCGACAAGTTTAAAAAGTGACATCAAACTTCACACACAATTGCCACATTCCACTTCTGCTTCGCCATAATGAACTTACCTTTTCCCTTTTTGAAAGAAGAAGAGTATTCGTCTCAATGTTAATTTGCCTCATGACGCATGATGCAACTTCTACTAAAAATACTTCTGAAAGCCCTAGACTTTGTACGCTCTCCTCTGTGCCAATACAATAAATCATCAATTTTTGGTTCAGTCAGAAACTTTCACCTAAACTAACTAATAAAAAATTTGGGTCTGGCTTTAGTAATAGCTAATAAATAGATTACTCCGCCTGTGGTTGAGGGGCTTCATGTGAACTTCCAGATGTCAATGGCGAGAGAATGTAATCTCTTTTTGCTCGGTCTCGTTTCGCAATTTCGCCAAAGTTACGTGGAGACTGGGATGTATGTCCTCCTAAGTTTAGTCCTCTTTCAGCCCCTTAGAAGGTTCGCATTTGTAATTTTTACTTAAACCGTCAAGTAATTAATTAGGATGCATGTTAGCATGACTGTACCATTAAGTGACTTAGGCTACGCTTTTTTCTTAAACCGCTAACATGCTACTCATATTTATACCTATTTTTCTATTACTGACGTTGGCCGATCCTCAATTCGTGTCAAAATTGTGTCGAAGAGACTAATGGTTTCAACTCACCGGCAGTTTTTCCTTAATCTCCTACGGTCTATAGATGTCACGATAAATAAGTTGACACATTCCTCGAGATCTCCACGTTCGGTTTCAGTAAACCACTCAAGCATTATAACTTCAAACTGGTAATGAGCCGTAAAGACTTTCATGTATACCACAAGCAGTGACACAAATAAGCTTTAGGTACATTTGGCCATCATAATAAATGTACTCTGAGCTCTGACAAAAACAATCCACAAATCTCTTAATTACACACTTTTTACAGGAATTTAGCCTCAGTCCAACAACAGTTCCTCATCGAGACCCAACTTCCCTTGATCCACAGGCAATCGACCGACTTCACTTTGGGATATTGAGAAAACGAGACAGTGAAGGGATCTGAGCAGGTTTAGATTCTTTGTATGCATGCTCTATGTAGGTAAAACGGTACGGGACGGCATCAACCCAAAAAAGACACATAAGAAGAAAGTCTATCGAAATTAATGCGATAAAGAAGGTGTATCTGTCTAAGATCGTAATAACCTGAATATCAGTACAGGCATCCCGACAAGAACAAACTACAACAAACCTATAACTCGACTCACGAAGGAGTCTCTTAATTACACACATTCACATTAGTTTAAGGCCAGCTCTGCACTGGCCCATAATGATATTCATATAGACTTTTTCATCTCCCTGCCTCACAGACCGAGTCGAATTGTTTATCAAAATAAATAAAGCTCATATCGTAAAGTAACTAACTGGCAAGTGCCAAAACAGTAAAAAAAACTCACAAACCCGTAGAGTCTTGTAAGTAAGTTCAAAAAATAAGATAAGGTATGCTCTGCAACTAATCGAGCCAGAAAATGACACCATACAGAGACAGAACTGCCAAGAGGGACCAGAGGATGTTTCAGTTCAAATGTCATCCAAAGTATGCATAAAAGCTGCATTTAGAATAATCTCTTAATCATTCAATGCGACTCAATTTTTCAATTTGAAGGAATAGTTGATTGTCAATAACTTGTGGATTGACCTCACCAGAAACAAAACGAAAATTGTCGTGGAGCTATGGCTC